AGAGAATAGGAACTCAGATCCTAACTTAACTAGAGCCCTTTTAACTATCAAAATTCGTCTCTGAAATTTTGGTATCCACAATTTTGCAAATAATTGCAACTCACAATATAATTGAACCACAGCAACTCTAGTAAGTACGGCATCGTTTTGATACGCAGGTTTGGAACCTCGGAACTGCACGACCGAGCACGACACACATGTGAGGCCAGGTCAGAAATGCGATCGTGTGTGCATGAAAGGGATACTGTGATAGATATAGAACCCTCGAATCCCTACTAGTCGTGCCAAGTCCGTCTCCTTGCCCTTCGGCCACCCAAACGGTACGAGAAGCCCGTTTCCTGTCACAGTTATAAGTCGAATACGCTCAGCTTATCTTGCTCAATAACGAAGATTATCTCCACTGTCTTGACCTCAAAACGTTCGGGCGACTCCACATCGTTTTCAACCATCCATGAAATTTTTTGATGCAGAAGGAATGCTTGTGACCACTCGGAAATTGCACGAAGCGCACGTGTTGAGTCCGTTTGCACACCATAATAGCATCATACCCGCCTTGATTTCATTTTAGGGGCTGGATCCAAATGGGGTTAGCAGAAGAAAGCGCAGGTATTCCATCCGCAACCACAATAACTGATTGACCCCACGTGTCAACCGTGTTTCCTGCCGCATCAACTAGAGCGAGACCACCATTTCGAAGACTTGCGAAGAACTCCATCTCTAACTTCCATCCGTCCAATGCTGGGTTTGGATTGTCTTGATGCGTCGACATGACCTTCTTGATAGCATCTGGACCGCATCTGACGGCAATCAGCGTGGCAGCATACTGACTGATCACAGGCGACACCGCACCCACGCCATGAGGTCGCTGGGACATCCAAACAGACGATTGATGCTTGAAGATGAACGCTGGCCACTCGTGGCAACACTCGTAGCATCGTTTAAGGAATTCACGGCACCGCTCAACTTTGTCGCCACGGTCGCAGTGCGGAAGTAAAACATATAACGACAGGAACCACCTGTGTAGTAATACTTGGACTCCACCATTGCCGCGCGAGACATCTCTTCATCCGGCAACACTGCAGGGGAATCCAGACACTGCGACACACTCTGGAACACGTCGTCATTCTTGATCGCATTGAGGTACTCGTCCAGAATCAATGACCACACGTGGAATCCCTTGCACGAGTAAGAATCTCCATGTCCTCTTGGAATTTCCCACGGGCGGCAACTGAACAAACAAATACGAGCCGCCACTGCTTCACCTCCGTGCCGTCAAGGAACAATTCAACGAGCACTACGTGATGCCTCGTATCGTCAACCATCAACACTTCATCCACGTCTAAGATACCAGTATTCGACTTTTCCATTGGTCGCCGATGAGGCTCACGCATCACCAACGCATGACGTCACGATCCATTCCCTTCTATTCAGAGTCGGCACGAAAGCCATGGCTGTTGTTGACTTTCCTGTTCCAGGAGGGCCGAGAATCCAGCCCAAATGACCTTCGCTCAATACTTCACCGCGCAAGAACTCGAATTGGCGGTGGAATGTGGACATGCAGTAGAGCGTCATCCGAACGGGTGGAAGTCCGGACTCGTCCACATCCTCTTTCTCCAGCAGGAAGTATTGTGAGCTCAGGTCATAAGCGAGTGATCCCCATCGAGTCGACCGCCACTCCATGCGCTGCCTTTTCTTGGCTACCGCAGCTTTCTCAATAACCGGGAGTTGCACAGAATTCGCTGGCGTCAAACTTATATCGCTCGGTGTATCGTATTTTCGAGAAGATAGCCTCCTGCAGAGCGCTTACTTTCGCATCGCTCGCGATCTTCACAGGAAACACAGTCCCTTCGCCGTAAACAGCGCACTCCAGCTCGACCTCCACCATGGTCTTCGTTGTAAAAAGGTCTCGACTGAGAAGCAATAAACACTCAAACAACCCACAGCGTAATTTTAGTCAATCGTATCATCAATAGAATTATGTTTATTAATATTTCTGACAATATATTCCTTGATATTTAAAAACTAAATAATAGTGAGTTCATCTTGAGCGATAATTACATATATTTATACATGTATATACATATAGAAATAATAACAATGTGGAAGTGCATTTTATCAACGAACCACCAAAAGGCGAACCAACAGTGCGGCTCAAAAGGCGATTGGTGTCGACATCACGCGAAGTATAAGCCAGCAGTTGATAAATCATTTGCCATTGTTACTGAAGTCGAAGTTGATGAAGATGAAGTTGATGAACCTGCAGTCGAAGCAACAACAATAAGTAACTCTTATACCACTACTGATATTGTTTCAGAACCAACGATGGCTGACGCTATCGAAGAAATGTATGGCGAGCATTGCTTTTAGCACATCAAATCTGTTCTCTGGATTTTAATCCAGAGTTGTTAGGGTAGTTCGTAAATGCACGCAGAAACAAACAATGCGGACTTTTATCACGCCACGACGACATGGGATAGCGCGAGTCTTTAAGTAGATTAGTAAAACGGAGATAGATCTCAGAGATCATTACGTGTCTTAGTTTCCTAACACTTTGTTTATCGAATATGGATCAGTATTATGCCACTGTTGTACGGATTATTTCACACCGTATTATATAT